CAATCCTCGCATTATGATGTAGTGTTATCCTCTATCAGGACAAAATCTGGTACCATTTCACATGTAAAATCCAACCCTCCAAAGCATAATAAGTTCTGTACGTCTATTATGCTGATGTTTCGGCACACCATAACTGTCAATGATACACTAAGCATATTGTTCACCACTGGCTATCAAAATACGAAGCTGTCAATTATTGTTAGAGACAGAAAACCACTTCTGAAGAATTCTTTTGATTTTGACAAAAAGTCCAAAGGAGTTGTGTTGTCAACTATGGGGCTAAAGTATATATTTCTAACGTTAAGCGATTCTCACGAAATTTTATTTCTCACTATTTGTACACAGTTGCTGCCCTGAAGTCCACATTAAGTCCACGCATTGTATGAAATATATTGTGCAGATACCAATCATTCATGGCGTAAGTGGTCTTCCACGATCTTGTCCACAGTATTTAGTATACAGATATGGCCTTTGATTTACCAAAATGAACTGTTACATGTGTGTTTGTCCAGTGTCAACATTTGAAGAATTTTGTTAGTCTGTAATTTCTCTAAAATATGATTATTCAGTTGTACTGAAACAATATCCTGAAGAAAACGATCACCAGAACAGTAAATGATCGATTCTAAAGACGAAATATGTCTTTCCAGAGATCTTATCATTCCCATAGCAGGACACACGAAACGTGCACATAGCAGGACACACGAAACGTGCACATAGCAGGACACACGAAACGTGCACATAAATTAATGACATATCCATTTTTGGAATTACATTCAAGTATAAATTTCGGGACCACATTGAATGTTTGCCTACTTTAATTTATGAAATACTGTTATACATTCTCAAATTATTTGAAAACAGAATGACAATCCTGTGTCATTGTGTTTCATTGCTTTTAGTGTTTAATACAGGAAACGTAGCTTTCTCTCATTGCTCTAAAAAGAAAAATGTATAATGTAATTGTATTATTGTATGCAAAAGGAAATCATTTCACGATACTGTAAAAAATTACTATATCTAAATGCATTCATGATATCAGAAAAACAAGTAGGTTCAAGAAGTTATAATAGGAAATGATAAAAACCCTGTAACCCGAGCACTTTCAAAAGGTCCACCTCTTGAAAATGCTCAGGCTACAGGGTTTTATCGTTTCATATATTTAAATGCAAATAGAAGACATAATATCAAGACATACGCTATCTTATTTTCCATTACCATTAAAATAAATAGATAAAAAATCGCGCTCTCCGTACGTTGGAGCCTGAGGTGCGTTATAAAGATGACACTCAAATCCCAGTATTCGGTCAGACAAGAGAAGCCCAAGAGTTGGCGCTGGGTGATCTTGAGTAACTGGCTTTCCTATATCAGTTCACAAGTAGGGACGAGCGCAGATAGCCATTGAGTAACTTTCCAAAGCAAAGAAACTAGTTTGTTTTACTTTACTCTTTTTATATACTAATTGAAGTCATAAACCAATGAATAAATATTTATGAAAGATTGATTTTTTTCCCATTGGATAGAATATTGCTTTCTACAACCTTTTTCCAGCTATAACAAACATGCTACTATTATGTTCGTTTAATACGTGCTTTTCAAGTGATTCACCCATTTTTGTTTTATTGAATACCAGCGATTTTAGATTACGTAATTAAGTACTTTCCTGTCGTTAAAGGCTGTCCAAATGAACTGGTAGCTCTCAATTCAACTAATGAACTAAACATCTTTGAATATTTCAGAGCATTTTGAACATAACTGTATTTCTGTGTTCTCTTGTTTAACTCATATATATATATATTTGTGATTAGAATATTTCATTGAAACTCTTACAGTGCACAGCCTGTTCACCTGAATTTCGAAAGTTTCATTGAAAACTGTAGTGCTGTAAAAGGAAATTAATGCTTTCTCAGATAATAGTTAACAGACGGTTTTAAGCAGGTTTCTAGAATGTTTTAAGGAATACTCTGACATATTATTAAATTTCATCTTTAAATATAGAAAACAAACTTCGTATGCTTCTTGCGCTAGGCCTCTGGCGGACAATATCTCTAAAACAACCCAGCTGATATTCCGTAGCTCTCCATTAGAGACTAGAAATGACTTAATTATTCGGTATAAACTTTCAATATAGACCAGAGCAAGTTTATATATATATAAAACGTATAAAGGAAAGTGTCCACCTATTCTTGAACTTTATTTCTAGTTTTTCACATAATATATATAAAGTTGTTAGAGAGAGAAGGTAGGGCCTTATTGGGGAGTACTTTCGTTTAATGTGATTAAGAAATATAATTTTGTCAGTCACTTTACTGTGCGCTGAATTAAGTACTATATAGGGTATTTGACCCTACCTTGTCTAGTGTTAGTTTGATAATGTCTACTTTTCGTTCTTCCTTTTCTCATTGCTAAAGAGAATTGAACGAGCCAGGGATATTGATGAGCTAAAGCGGCACGTTTGATGCGCTCGAGGGAGCAGAGGGTGACAGTAGACTGTATCTAATTCACGTTATTGATTTTAACTCACCAGTAAGATGTTTTCAAATCGTTGCTATGTGCTTAGAGCATGCGTAGTTGGTGTCTTTTCAGTTGATGAGACTGCGGGAAGGGCAAGAGCCTTTAGGAACAAAAGATAAACAAACAAATAAACAGAAATCAGGTGTCACACCGTGTTGAAAAGTGGTGTTGGAGAGTGTGTGAAGAAGACAGGCTAAGTGGGGAATAAGGCCTGACCCCCTTTTGCCACCCAAAGAGATGTCATTGAGAAAGAAGGTGTAACTCTAGGTCTTTAACCCTAATATCTAGTACTCATAAATTTATAGACAGGATGTTGTGTAACCATGTATTAACAAGATTAACATATTACATTTATCGAATTTTTAATAATACCTCAGGGTTAGCTACTGTTGTTTTAGTCTGAGCAATAACCAGAAATAAACGTAGAATTTTTGTTTCAAAATTTTTTGGCACGTGTGTAATGTTCAATCTTAAAAACTAATTTTTTTTAAAAAAAACAATGATTATTTTATACACGCTTCAATAAAAATGATATTGTTTCCAGTCTCCTAATTACTAAAATAATAACTTACTGTACAAGGTTAAAAAGTGGAAAACAAACTCATACACTCTATATGTTGCGACGTATATCTTGTGTCATCCTCAGGAGTGTAATGTTTTGCAAAAAATAACACTTATTTATATAATTATCAAAACACCAATTTACATATTAAAGAATTTCACGCCCTTTGCTGACAACATTTCCATCAGGTCCATCATCCTTATTCAGTAATTTAAATTCATTTTTTTTACATTTAGTTATTTCAATAGATTCACGTATATTCATACCAATTACATTTCCTAGGTTGTTGCTAAAATAACAGTTTTTCCCTATTGAATTGTGTGATTAGTTTCACTAACATGTTCT